GCCAACTGTGAAAAGAGGAACAGAAATGAAATTTCCAGAGGGATACAAGAAGGCCACAGAGTCAGAGCAAAGGCCACTGTGTGTCCTGTATATGCTGCGTGGATTCTGACTCGAGTCTCTCTTCCAGCTCAGCCCTTCACAGAGTGCAGTAATATCCCAGCAAGGAAGGTGACTTCTCCTCCCTGGAGTTCCTGGGAGCATGAACTCATTCCAGCTTCCTCATTCCCTGCCACCAGGTGAGATTCCAAAGAATGAGCTCAGGGGAGGGGAGGGCTCAGCCAGAGCTCAGGCCAAACCGCTGTACCAGTGCGGACAGATCCCTTTCACTTCCGTGGCAGATCTTAGGAAATATGGCTTCTGCTGATTTGATGGCGGCTCCCACTGAGCTTGTTTGTGCCTCTCCCAACCTGCCCAAATCCTTCTTCTGCCCAAATCCTTCTCCTCCTCATTTTCCATCTCCTCCTTCTTCCATTCCTAGTTCCTAGCTTTTGTCTCCACCAGCCAACAAGGGGTTAAAAATATCCAGTACCAGGGAGGCCAGGCCACAGGGATGCAGGTGCAAACAGAGAAAGTGGGGGCTAGAATCTAGAAGGATCTGTCACCATTCCAAGAGCTTCTTTGTGAGAGGAGTGGTCACAGATTTTTACTAAAAGTCTCCAGGCAAAAAGTCCATAAATCTAGAAACTGTGAAAGGCAATGGAAATTTAATTAAATGAGTTAATGTATGTTGAGTGCTTGAGACAGCGCCTGGCACACCATTGGGCTGTGCAAACCTTTGGAAGTGAGGAAGAGTTTAGAGAAATGTGCATTCTAGCATCCCAGCAGGCTATACAGTGCAGAATCTTCAAAGACAATTGACCCCAGATCCCTGCATTCCAAGTCACTGCCCTCCCTGCCACTAGGTCTCAAGATTTTGCTGTCCCCTGTCTCCTTGCCTTCTCCCTCCTCCCTCTCTCTGAGAACCTGAGTGCTGGTTTCTATCTGTGGAGATGTGCTCGCTCATCTTTGGTTGGCCCCACCATAGCTTCCTCTCACTGTCCATGGAAACCCTTGATTCCCATCCCGTTCTGCTAGTGCAGCTTACACAAAGCCTGTGCTATCTCCATAGCAGCAATTATATTGGCTTTGTCATAATAACCATGTGGAATGGCCCTGTAATTACAGGAATAGGAGAAAAGCTTTCCTATCTGCAGCTCACTGGAAAGAACTCTGGTTAGATTTTCCCAGAAATCTCATGGAAACAGGATCAAGATAGCAGAAGGAAGCAAGACCCTGGTGGTCTACTTCCAAGGTCACCCTACCAACATCACCATAGATTGCTACTGTATGAGGTGAAAATGCAAACCCCCTCACATCTCTTCTTCAATACATGACTCAAGCAGAAGAAAGGAAAAAAATGAGGCTGCTCTACTCAATTTCTAAGGCTCTCAGAGGAACCAAAAGCCATGGCTGAGAAGGTGTCTCGCCTTCACCTAAGTGTGCACAGGCCCCACATGCGCAGCTGACCTCCTGCTTTGTGAATTGCTGTCATGGCTGAGCTCATGCCCAAGGCTCTCTGCTTCACCAGGGGAAGGGAATGATGGATGGTGTGCCCCTGAGACACAAGCAGAGACGTGAGTCAGTAGTAGAAGGGAAATTGGCTCCAAGATGTGGCCCAGCAAGCCAGCAGTTGGATGGGGCTGAGGGAAGAGAAGGGCCCCCAAGGGAAGTGGTCCTGTTTCTAGATGCTTCCTTTCCAGCCTACTCAGAGCTCTCCAGTGCATGTCAGATACAGAGTGGGCAAGTTGGGGGCAAGTATGTAGATAGGTAATGAGGGCTTCCTCTGGGCCTGGCACTGCTCTGGATATTAGGATTCAGATAGGCCAGGGTAGTTAAATGGTGATGATAATCCAGGCTTTGGTGGTGGTGTCAGTGGTGGTGGTGCGTGTATGTTTGTTACTCTCTGCTCTTGATTGTGGCTGTGACTTGATTAGAGACTTAAATTCCTGCTTTGATCTCCCCTCAATGATGGACTATCACCTAGAATTGTAAAAGTCTTTCCTTCCAAAGTTAATTTTTGGGAAAATATTTTGTCACAGCAACAGACATGAAACTAGAACAGCACAAACATGGGTGCCTGGGCTTTGGCTGTCATTCCTCAGGACAAGGTCCCCCACTGGCCTGGAACTTGTCAAGTTGACCAGGCTAGCTGGTCAGCCAGGCCTAAGGATCCACCAGTTTCCACCTCCCTCGGTTCTAGAACTGCAATATGAGCCACTATACCTGTCTTTTCCATGTGGTTTCTGGGAATCAAACTCAGTTCCTTCTGCTTGCATAGAGAGCCAATCACTGACTGAACCAGCTCCCCATGAAGGATAACCCCAGTTTGATATACTGTCAGGTCAGAGTTACAAGAGCTCTTAAAAACGATGGCTTGCTGATGAGCCAACTAAGACTCAGAGGACTTGTCTAAGGTGCAAAGCTTCCCGGTAGGTGGGGGCAAGCCTTCACTTGCTTTGATTGCCCAGGACCATGTGTGAAGACGGCGGAGGAGCAGGTCTGCAAACCATCAGAGATAGACTCCCACGTGGAATGCTGTTCTTAGAGCAGGGTGCCGCTTTTTGGACACCTGTGGGTGGTACAATGGACACAAGGGGACTGCCATGACAAACTTGCCACACTGACCTGGTTCTAGGGTAACATACAGGATCTGTGATTAAGCCCCAGATCCTGAGAAACCCACAGAATCCAAGCGACTTCTCAAGCACCTATCTTCTTTGGAAACTCCACCCACCAGGTACTACAGGGCTTATGACTCTGCTGCTGTTTTAGTGAAAGGGAAAAAAAATGCACATCAGATTTCAAGACTGTATAGTCTACATGGGCACCTTGAAAATGAGTACACGGAGCCTGGGGTAGAAAGAATACAACTCAATTCAATGCTTAAGAAACTCACTAATTTCACCGAAGTATTACTTCATAATTAGTGAAATAATTATGCCACTTCAACTTCTCAATAGTCCCTGATATTTTATTTTGTAGGGATACAAAGAAAAACAGCCTGAGCTCTCTTAGATGCTGTCTTAATCAGAGGAATTTCCCTTCAAAATAATAGGGAATGTAGAGAAGTGTGACTGTTCAAGACACTGAGAAGAAGTCATAGTCAAGAGCTCAGCCCTAAACGGGGCATTTACCACCCACTCCAAGGGTCAGAGATCAAGTCGGAAGTGAGGGTGGGAAGAATATAAGAGCCAGGAGATAAGGCAAAGAACTATGAAGTGCTGTCTTCTCGGCATGACGAAGCTGTGGCAAGCATGATCTCAGCCCCTGCAGCTGCCTACAGTGGACCTGCACAAGACTGGGCCTGTCAACAGTCAATCACAGATCGGGGAGGGGCCCCTGTGGCCCTACTCCTACCTGCTGAATGATGAGCTGAGAGAGTCTAGGGGAGGGGCCAACATTATCTTCAGCTGTGTACCCACTGATGAGCTCACCATACTCCAGTGGATGGTAACAAACCCAGGGACTCACGGATAGCTCTGGTCTAACTCCATGGGATAGCTCTGGTCTAACTCCATGGGGGTGCAGCACAAAAGGGCACGAATGTGGGAGAGGTATTTGTAAGAGGTTGGGGAAGTGGTGGAGGCTGAGGAACAAGAAGTGGCAGTAATAAGAGGGCAAAGGTACTTTGAAAACACAAAGAAAAACTATTTTAAGGGGTCCTGGATCAGAGGCTAGCGTTCTCAAAGCCTGGACCAGAGAACTGGTGAGATTCCAGTTTAAAAACTGCACATCTGGGTCCTAGCACTGGCCCACAGAATCTGCATCTCAACAGGGCACCCAATTTGCCCCTAGGCATCCCATAACAGGAAGAAATGCCAGGGCACCTCAGGTAGACCCAGCCAGAGGGTCACTGTGTCCTCAATGTTATTCTAAGTAGAGCATCCCTAATCCAAAAAAGATCTGAAATCTAATACACTCTAAAATCTGAAACTTTATAGGCTCAAACATCATGCCCCATGTGGAAAACCCCATGCCATGGAACCTGATTTTATGCACAAAATTACTGAAAATGTAGAAAATTATGTAAAGGCTACAAGTGTAAGGTATATGCACGATAATGAGTTTTGTATTTAGAACTGAGGTACATCCCTAAGACAGCCTATTATGCATATGTAAAGATCATAATATTCAAGCAAACTGAAGTCACAGACTCCAAGATTTCTGCTCATGGTGGGCTGGCTCTTTTTTTCTAAACTAAGGTGAGGCAGAACCTTGTGGAGGCAAGAGTTGGTGGCAAAGGCCCGTGGTAAGATCCAGTGGCAGGATGGAGGTCGCTTACATCCTGCATCCAGGAAGCAGAACGAAGTAATGGGAAGAGGCCAGTGCCAAGACAAGCTCTTCAAAGTCACACCTCCAGAGACCTACATCCTCCAACTAGACCCCCCTTCCATAGATCTACCACCTTCCAGCAATCTGTTTAAAATTTAAATCCATTGATGAATGAAAGCATGCTCAGCCTTCTGATACTATGACGGGTGTCATTTCTAAAGTTTACACTGAGAACCAGACAATTGAGCTTAAATATATATGAAAATCTCATCCCAGAGGTTGGGGAAGTGGCTCCATGGGTAAAATGCTTGCCATACAAGTGTCAGGACCAGAATTTGGATCCCCAGGTCCAATGTAAATGCTTATAGGAGTGCCCACCCTCTCCTGCAATCCAATCCCAACATGTGGGGGGCACAGATAGGGCAAGTTAACTAAGTTGATTGGCCAGACTGGAAAATTCAGGGTTGAATATAATTCTGCTCTATTATATAAGGGGGAGAGAATGAGGAAGGTGCCGAGGTCAACCTCTGGCCTAGGCATACACATATATCCACAAGCACATACACCGACACGTGTGCCCATACACATGAACGCACATACACAGGCACATATAACACATGCCAAATACACACACACACACACATAGATGAAATTCTAAACAATCTTATTAAATAAGAAACAGAGCCAAATAGAGTTAAAAGCCCAGAGATCAGAGCAGTAGCCAAGAGCTAAGACCACCTTATCTTACCACTGGCTGCCACCCTTCCCCTGAGAGAGAGACCTTTTTCCTGTGTCTTGTCTTTTTATTGCCTTTCTGTTCTGCCTTCTCATTGGTTCTAAACCCAACCATATGACTTCCTCGTCACTGCCTGTCTATACAGACCTCCAGGTCTCTATGGTTGGTACTGGGATTAAAGACGTGTGTCACCATGCTGGCTGTGTCCTTGAACACACAGAGACTTTGCCTGCCATGTGATCAGATTAAGGACGTGTGCTACCACTGCCAGACTTCTGCTTAATGACTTGCTCTTAGCTCTGATCCACAGGTAACTTTATTTATTAACATACAAATAAAATCACATTTCAGCACAAATAAAATATCACCATACACACACACACACACACACACACACACACACACACACACACACACACACACACACCATATAATGTCTTAAGTAAATTTCATGTTAGGCTGTATCCTTAGCTAACCTGGGCAAATGCAGCCCATGGTCCACAGGTTAGACATGCCTGAAAGCTATTGATTCAGTCAGAGCCCTCTCAGACACACCCAGAGGTGTGCTTCTACTAATCTCTGAGGTGTCTCTCAGTCCAAACAGGCCGGCAAGAAAGAGTAACTATAACATAGACTGTGAGCTCCTTGGAGACTAGAGTGTTCCATGTGTTCCTGTTTGTCGAGTATCTGGCTGGGAGCCTGGCCCAGCATATCTTAGGAAATAAGGGCTGAAGAAATGAATCAGGTTCATCCCAGGAAGACACAAGGATGGATGGCAGCAAAGCTGCTCCACACATCATCACAGATCCTCACAAATCCCTCACACTTGAGTGTGCGTGAACTTCCCTAGGGGACAAAGGCAGAATACTGCAGGCTGTGGGACCTCCGTGGAGTGAGGTAGCATGTAAACGAATCTGAGACACCTGAAGGGGTAGAAACTCCAGGGATAATTTTACCTTCCAGAAACCGAAAACATTCTGTTTCCACAAGTCCCAGCTCTAGGGAGCTGTGCTTGCTGGAGGGTGGGGATGCCGGCCCTGCTAGGTCTCCAGGATGCCAAATCTAAACAAGAATGGTGAAGTGAACAGGAAGGATGAGGGGGAGAAACTATACATGGCTGCTTGGGACTGCACACTCCCGTGTTAACACGGGAGTCGGGGTAGTGTCTATAAAACCTGTAGCCTCCGGTATTTCCCCACCAATTTTCAGAAAGCCCCGAATCCACCCTGCAAGTGACATTTCTTTGGCTTTTTTCCCTTTTCTCTGTTCTTTTAAATTGAAACTTCTCTTGGAACACTTTGGACCTGATTCATGCTAGGATATAAATGACTTACTGCATTCATTAGGTAGGGCTGCTGGGCCAGTGCACCAGGTACTAGGTGGCTTAAACAACATTTCTTGCACAATCCCAGAGGCTGGAAGTCTAACAGCAGGAAGAAGAGGGATCCATCCTTTCTCGGGACGTCCAGGCGTCTCACCGGCTCTCAGGTGGTGGCGTTTTCCTGTGTTGTACTTTGCCTTCCCTCTGTATACCTTCGTTCAGATTTTCCTCTTTTGTAAAGAAACAGACAGGCAAGATTAAGGCCTACTTCAGTGATCTCACCTTTGAGTTGGGGCTCTAATGGGTGAACTTGGGGGGCACTGTGGGACTTACCTGGAGAGATGCAAACAAATGCCTATTGGCCGCAGATAGGGGAACCAATGACAAACGAAATAAATTATTCCACCCAAGTCAAGCCTGGTACACTAGTGTATTTCCTGGGTTCACTTACATGACTGGTTGAGTAGTTACTTACAGGAACATGTGCGACTTGGAAACAGCTGCCTCACCAAAAAGGTCACCCCAGTGTGGGTGAGAACTCAGGGAGGAGAGAGAGATGTGAACTCCATTCCCCAGCCTCATTCTTCCCCCACCCACAGTGCTCTGTGCCAGACAGGACTCTGTCTCAGGCCTACCACACAATACTACATCTGCCCTTGGGCTATTCCATTTTTTTTTTTTTTTAGTTGTGAAAAGGGGATGTAGCCTGTCACTTGTAATACAAGTTAGTTATCTTGGTGTCTCATTGACCTGGAATCTCATACCTGTTCTGTCACTTGCCACCTGCATGGCCTGGGGCAAGTGATTTAGCCTCTCTCTGCCTAGATCCCCTTCACTTCTTGGTGAAGATAATGGCAGCAGAGCTGGATGCTAGTGCAGTGACTCGGCTATCTGTTGCTCTACTAACGCTTACCTCCGACTGACTGGATCTTATGTGCCCAATAGAGAAAAGCATTTCCTTCCAGAAGGCCTTACTCTGCACATGCAGATTTTCCAAAGGGATCCCTAGTGAGCTGGGGTCCTAGCACCCAAAGGAGCCACATGTGACTTGTCCCTTCCCTTGTCCCCGGTTTCTACTGTGTTCCTCTAGATGCCAAATGTCCCATTCTACTCATGATGGGATTTTGAATGGCTTTAAGGGAAAACCCGATAATAAAAGTTGGGAGGCACGGTTGGAGGGGATAAGATTCATGCCTCAGCATCTGAGGACGCCAGTCTTTGCTGACTGTTTTGGATCTGCCTTACTCCTAGCCCTAACCCAGGTACCTGCTAGCTCAGACACTAAGCAAGAACTAGCCCAACTACTGTGGAAGTCAGTATGCAGACTCCTTAAAAACCTAACACTAGATATACTATGTGACCCTGCTAAATGGATCCTGGTCATACCACATGTCTCCAAGTCAACACCATGGACGTTTGTACATCCATGTTGACCACAGCACTGTTCACAACAGATGAGTCATGGAACCAGCCTCAATGACCAATCGCAGAGCAACAGAGAAGGAAAACGTGCCCCACGTACACATGGGGTTTGTTTGCTTGTTTGTTTGTTTGTTTGTTTGAGCCACAAAGAAGTTATGGAATGTGCAAGGAAATGGATGCAACTGGAGAGAATCATATTAACAAATAAGCCAATTGCAGAAAGACGAATATCACATATTTTATTTCATTTTCAGGTCCTAGATTTCATATAAATACATGAAGTTATGTATGCACAGAGGCCATGAACGTAGAAGGGATATTGTCTAGAAGAATAAAGAAGGGGGATAAGAAGGAAGATAGAGGGCTATGGGGGAGAATGTGGTCAAAGTAGACTTACACACTTGCATGAAAATGGCCCTATGTAACCTAATAGAGTATAATAATATTTTTTTTATGAAAAGTCAAGTGTACTGCCTGGGTCTATGACTGCCTTTGAAGCCCAGCACACAGGGCAAAAGGGGTTAATGTAACCTCATTGCTGAGGGATTTCTTAATAATCTGACCACATGTCCCAGGGATCAGAGTGGCGGGAGTTGGTACTAGTCTGTGGCAGTGCCTCAGGCCCTTGGCCCATAGCCCACTACACTCCCCAAGTCCTCTTGTCCAAGCTGATTTTGAATTTAATTAAGAACAAGCCAGTAGAAGCTGGGGTCTCTGCAGGACTAGCAACCCTACAGCTTGAAGATATCCAGGAAGTTGCAGACCTCCTTGAGGCAACAGAAGGAGGTGGGGGGGGGGGTGGAAGTTCACTTCCCATCACCACCCTTACCTGTAAAAACAAGAAACAAGTCCTCAGAAATCCCGGGAGCAGCAGAGCTAGGGCTCAATGGGAGACTGAGCTGAGTCTGGGGAGGATACAGGGAGTGGAGGGGCACAGGGCTCAGGAAAAGCTACAGTTTTGCTGTCCCCATAGGCAGAGGTGGCTTGCCTCCTCTGTATCTCCTACTTGCTCTCCCTGGACATCATGGGCCAACAGGTCTTATACCAGCTATCCCCTCAACTATCCAGAGAGCTGAGATTACAGGCATTCACCATCACCGCCCCCCTGCCCCCATCATGTATTCAGTGCTGGAAATTGGTACATGCTGGGTAAGCTACATCCCCAATCCAGCTGCATCCCATGGGATCCTAAATCAGAAGAACCTAAATTATGGGATGCTTCTAGATGGATTCCTAGTCCTCCACCCAGACTTAGGAAAGGATCAGCTAAAGGGCTGGCATTATGGACACTCTCCAGGAGCTTTTGAGTATACATTTGAACCAGAATTATCTAGAATGTGGACCAGCAAGCTACTGCCATGAGTTAGATAGGGCCCCCCAACCACCACCCATCAGACTTTATCAATAAACTTTGATTGGAACATGTCCCTTGGTCCCATATGGCTCTTGCAATCCAACAATAGAGTTGAGGAATTGCAACAAAGCTGGTGTGACCCCTCAAACTCTGACCATTTTCAGAGACTATTTGCCAACCAATGATCTAGAAGTCAGTCAGAAATACCCGGGACAGATAGAGATATTGCTTAGGAGGGCCCATCCAACTAAAGTCAAGTGGGCTGGATACAGATTGGCTTTAATGAACCTAAGGCCTAGACAAAGTTTGGAGACCACTCACGATGCCCTCCTGTCCCCACCTCTGATGAAAAGGAACCTCAAAGAATCTTTGTGAAGACTGTCTAAGATGATAAGAATGGTTACAGGTAGGCAATTACCACATACCTGCCTGTAGCTGTGATCACACAGTCCCAATGGGTTAGATTCTGAAGTCTGGCTCCGCCTTAGTGAGCCCTGCTTTGGCTGATTCCTCTGGCCCTGGACTGGTGGTATCAGAATCCCTGGAGCACTAGGATTCAGTTCCCATAGAAGGGGATGCCTTCAGTGAGCTTCAGGAAGCCTAAGCAGTCTGACTAGGCAAGTACAGTGGTCACTCTGAGTTAGGGCTGGAGAAAAACCTCTTGGCAGCCAAGTTGGAAGCTTTCTCTGAAAAGCAGCCAGGCCAAGAGGGTCATGTTAGTCATGTTTTAATATGCATTTGGAAGGTAGCTCTTATCACAATACCACTTCTTGGCTCCCACTTCTGAGAAATGCCACAAAAATGACATGATTATCATTAAAGGAGGGTCATACATGTGTACATGTGTATTCTTGAGTGTGAATTGTGTACATGTGCATTGTGAACTTGTGTGTTTGAGTATAAGTAAGGATAGGCAAATGTGCCATGTATATGCACATGAGAGTGTGCATGTAGATGAGGGACCGTGTGTACGTGTGTATGCACGTGTTAGAGTATAGGTACATATTGGTAAATGTATTGTTGTGTATATGCAAGTAAGCATGTGGATATATCTATGTATAAAGGACTATGTATGCACATGTGAGTATATATGTAGACAAGTGTGTGTTTGAATATGTGTACACTCAGGTGTGCATATGTGTTTCAGAGAAGTGTACATAAGTAGATGCTTTGGTATGTGCATATGTACCTATTTGACTATAAGAATGGGCAAGTGGGAATTTTTGTACATTTGATGTGTGAATATGATAGTGTGAGGGTACATTAGGAGAGTATGCATGTGTGTTTGAATGAATGTGTAGTCACAATTGGGTGTGCAGATACAACTGTGTGTGAATGTACATGTGTGTATAAGATCCCTATCATTGTGCAGTCCTGCTCAGGTGTGAATCACTGGGCTCACACCGACGGTAGTCAGTCAGGTGGAGTGAGTGGAGAGATGAGATCTGAAGTTCTAGGCTGGATCAGGAGGGCTAGGTTTTGGGATCCATGCCTCTGCAGCAATTCATCAGCACTGCAAGCCACGGAACCCTTTCCCTGGCCTGTTCCTTCAGTCTTTCCTTGCTCTGCCCTGGGGCAGGTGTGGCCTCTTTTCAACCCCCGAGTTTCCTCATTCACCTTGGGGCAGTAAGTAGTTACAGACAAGATCTTGGGGGTGGGAGGAAAGTAATAATATCTTTCAACATGTCGTACAATGCACCACACTGGTCACAGGCTACCCAACTGCTTGTCAGACAGGGCAGCTGTGATGACCCCAGGGGCCTAAGATACAGTCTCCTACCGTTCCCTCAGGAAAGATGGGAGGGTCATCAGAGATTACAGGCATCTCTCCTTCCTGTCCCTCACCCCTGCTGCACATGGCCTCAGCCTTGCGAAGTGTGAGAGCATGTAAGAGATAGAAGGGCGACTGGAGGGCGACCTCCGTCTATGCAGCTTTCCTAAGCTGCCACCCACGCAGGGGTGAGACTATCCAATGGTGTTCTGTCTAGGGGTCACCATGCTCCTGTAAATAACCCCAGCCAACTCAGCGGTTCAGCAAGCTGGACTTGAGTATAATCAATACTTTTGGCCTGTGGTTGGTGCCTGATCTGGGCCGAGTAGACATTTGTTCACATCTCCTCCAGGAGGGGTGGGGGGAGATAACAAAACAGCTAGAAATAAAACATTGAACAGAAGAAGGAAGACATTGAAAATAGGAGGAAGACAGACATAACCAATCGAGACAGATCAGAAGTACGATTTACCTTCAGATGATGGGGAAAAGCTTCAAAAAGCAATAAACAGGACCATGGGCACCATGGGACCACACAAGCAAAAATGTTGATGGTTATTCAAACCAAGACACAGCTCACAGTGATATCATCCTTGTGGGTGGCTGGGCTCCTTCCCTTCAAGACCCCCTAACTTCCTAGGACTCAGAGATGGTCACTTGTGGCTAAATGTTTAGTGTTCTCTCTAGACTTCTGCAGAGCAAACCAAACCAAACAGGAAATACTCTGTTGGGTGGATATCTACCCACATGCTCAAGAAGTGGGGGGCCCAGAGGCCTGGCAGGACGGGGAGCTCCATTCCCAGAGGCACCAGCTGCCACAGCAGGGACAGTTAAGAGCCCAGCCTGCCCAGGAGATGCGCCTCTAAAGAAGCCAAGCCCTCATTTTGAGGATGTAACTCTAGATTCATAAAAGACAGACACACCAGGATTGTGGCTTGTGGTGGCTGCAGCCAGCCCTGTTCCCGGGGGGAGTTTTGTAATGAAGGAAGAAGATTTGGAAATAACTCGCTGTTCCAGCCAGTGGGAAATAAATCTCGGCTCTGGTCAGAGGCTGAGACTCACTGACTCTTGAATTCTCTCAGGAGAAAACCCCACCATCATCCCCTGCTCCGGGCCTATCTCCACCCAGGGCCCCAGAGAAACGTCCATTTCCAGGCTTCATCTAATGCTGTCAAAGCCTGGGGGTATCACCAGGGAACTGGCTTTCTGCTGAGGTATTTTTTTTCTCAACTACCACTCCAGCTGTTTCATGCAAACTCAGCCCTTATGCAAGTTTTATTACTGTATTTGAATGCATGTTACCTTACACAGACATACACACACACACACACACACACACACACACACACACACACACACACGGTATTGGGGGGAGTCTCACATTGGGATCAAATAATACTAGAAAACATCCCTAAGAATCCTTTAAAAACTATTGGATAAGACACTCACAGTGCAATGCCTGTAACCCCAGTTCACAGCAGGCAGAGATAGGCAGATCCCAGAAGCTCACTGGCCACCCAATCCAGCCAAAACTGTGAGTTCCAGATTCAGTGAGAGACCTTGACTAATGAAATAAGGTCATGAGGGACTGAAGACATCATGGCACCAACCTCTGGACTTCACACACACACACACACACACACACACACACACACACACACACACAGAGGGGAAAGTACACACATCCACACACAGGTGCACACATGCGTACACCACAGAGACAGAGACAGACCAAGACAGAGACCGAAAGAGAGAAAGACACACACACATACACACACACACACACACACACACACACACACACACACACACACACACACAGAACTCAAACAGCTGTGTTGATGACAGTGACCACAGCTAACACAGTGGTAGACTTATGAGAGGTTGGCATGGTGCTGTCTCACATTTGAAAGCTGGATAATTCAGGCAACACCGATCAGGATCCAAACCGGTGGTACCCAGGCCTTTCGAGTGAGCTGGATACTTTGAGTGCACACAGCTGTAGGATTCAAATCTAGACCCACATAACCTTTCAGACAGAGGCTCTCTCCTGCCTTCTTCTCACCTACATGGTGGTTCTCAGCATCTTGCCCACCTCCCTGGCCACTGCACCCAATGAATGACACATTCAGGGTGGAAGCTGCCCACCAGTTAGAAAGCTGATTCTCACAGCTCTTTTGTTCCAACACACACGCAGACAGCCTCCTCTGAACTTGCTCTGTGCGCTGGGCGTGAGGCAAGGATCCAGAAGAGCACTGAGGGCAGGGGTGGGGCTGGTGGAGCCTGAGATGCTGTGTCAGATGCTGTGATTACAGAAATACTCTTTAAAGAATGTGAGCAGACCCCTCATCAGCAGTCAATCACACCATCTCCAGGGAAAGAACATTCCAGAAAGTAAGAAGAGTAAATGCAAAAGGATGAGGCAGATGCCCAGTCAGGGAACACACAGACAGTCAATGTAGACAAGGTAGGAAGTGAAAAATCTGTCTCTTGAGTAAGATAAGATGTGCTTGTGTGTATACAAGTGTGGAGGTCAGAGAACAACCTCAGGTGCCACCCACCTTGGACAGGGTCTCTCACTGGCCTGGAACTCACCAAATAGGCTAGACTGGCTGGCCAGCTAATCCAGCTATCCTCGTCTCTCCGCCTCCTTGGTGTTGGAAATGCAAGTGCTCATCGCCGACCTGGCTTTTTATGTACATTCTGGAGATCAAACTCAGGTCCTCAAGCACACAAGGCAAGTAGGTTAGCTGTTGAACCCTCTCCCTGGACCTTAACCCTTAACCGTCATCTCTTTTCCATGCCTATGCCGCCACCATGATGCCAGCTGCTAGGATGTAACCAGGCAAGGAGGCCCTCACCAGAGTTGGGCCAAGGCCAGCACCAGACAGACCCTTGAAACTCCAGAACTGTGAGCGATAGCAATCTCTTTTGCTCATAAGTGGCCAGCTTCACATGTTTTGTTATAGGAGCAGAGAGGGAACAGACAGAGGACTATCCAAAAGGAATCACATTGGCTGACCAGGACAGTGCCATTACCACTGTAAGAGGAGGGCCTCCCAGCAGCCACCGGCGGCTTCTGGGAATCTAGCAGAAGCAGTATGCCGACCCCAGGAGCTTTCCCCTGACAGTCCCTCTTCTGCGGTTCACTTTCATGTTATTTACTAGCATATATTATCAGCTATATATTGCACTAGACACTTCCCTATGTGCATGTAACAAACTTGGATCGTGGCTCCCTCTCTATTACCCTTTCTCTTCTTTTCTCCATCTTACATCTGCCCCTTAGCTACTGAGCGAAGAAAGATACCAGGGAACCAGGAAGGCAGGCTGTGGTGCCCTCCCCTCCACCACCCTCCCTCCCCTTACCTCTGTCTTATTTGCACACGATAACCACAGGAAGCAGTTCTTCCATTTGCAACAGAGCAGAAACCATCACACAGCAGGAAGCTTTGAGGGCTCAGGGAAAGTGTGAAAGCAGAAAGGGAGCCTTGAAGGCCCAGCTCCCTAAGCAAATGGGACCTTCCATAGTGCTGCAGAATGACACCCAATGCAAAACAATTTGCATACAACGAAAGTTGCCGTGCCACTGTGGATGGGGGACATTTCCCAAGGACCCAGCCCTGGAGGAAGAACCTCAGGCAATCAGGAGCTTCTCAGGGAGAATCAATTTTCTACTTCTGGGAAAAGGCCCCCTAATAGATTTTCTAATCCTGAATGGTCAACCCTAAGACATCTACATATGAGTAAATGGACTTAGTGTGTTAGACACACACACACACAATTCAATACGCATTGAGGAAGAGGTCATGGATTTGAGAGGGGGGCACACTTGGGAGACATGGGAGGATGTTGGAAAGGGGAAGTGGAGGAGGAGTGATGTAAATATAGTATCCATATATGAAATTCTCAAAA